GAAGACCCGTAGGCCTGTGTTCAGGAATATCCCAAGTGACAGGCTATCGGTGCAGAGCACCTCTTCTCCAATTACCTGTCACCCAGGCAACCTGAAAGGTGGCTACAATCTCTGTCCTAGGCACCTGCCCATGGTTACTAAGCCTGACCCATCCCATGTTAAGGAGAGTGGTGGCAATTCCTCCTGCCAGCTGATGACATTGGGTGGGAGAAGAAGCAAAGTCAAGGGAATTGACCAATCACTGCCCTAATCTTGTCCTTCTCTAAACCTGTAAGGATAGGGCCACTGGCTAGAGGACAGTGCCTGGTTACTGAGGCATGTTAGAGCTTGGAAGTTAGGGCAGTGCAAATTATATCAGCATGTTTTTCAAGGACTGGAGGAATGCACATTAACACAGCCTTATGAAAGGGCTCTAAGTCTGCAATCCTATACTTGTTTAACAGGGAACAAGTCCCGTTTAACTCAAAAGGTCTCTCTTCTGAACAGAAGATTCTGTCATAAGTGCAGGTAATCCCCTGACCCTTTTCTCATACCTAGCATTAAAACTTTGAGCTCAGTTCTGGAGATGTAGGGAGCCTTTTTACTGTAGTCCTTTGGCCACCAATGGGGAATTCACAAGCACTGTTGTTGAGAATTATGTTATATTTCAATGGGACACCATCTAAGCTATGAACTTTACTCAGCTATTGTTTAAACATTAAACATTAGATTGTCCAGATTTAGGGTGGCCAGACCTAGGGTTGCAAACATCCAGTTGATCACTAGATGGCAGCAACATGAGAGTTCATGTATCTCTTTGCTGCTATCTTGTGATCATTTGAATTCTTGCAGCTCAAATCTGGTAGCCCTAGGACAGGGTTTCTCAACCTCGGCAACTTTAAGACGTGTGGACTTCAATTCCCAGAATTCCCCATCCAGCATGTTGGCTGGGGAATTCTGGGAGTTGAAGTCCACACATCTTAAAGTTGCCGAGGTTGAGAAACCCTATCCTAAGGTTTGGCAAATGAGGCAAATTGGCACTGATGGCCAACTTTCAAAAATACTGAACTCCTTTCCTTTGTTTGAATTCTAAGAATTCAACTTCCTTCCCGCCCCCGCCCCTTCAGCTCACTAGTCCTAACTGTCGATTTTCCTCCCCTGCCTGCTAAAGAGGAGGAAACTACCTCTTTGGTGTTATGCAGGGTTAGACATTTATTTGGGGGATGTGGGAGGACTCCTAGGGGCCGCAAGGGGAACCCTGATCCTGCTGGAACATTACCAGATTGAGCATGACAAAATGTTCATTCAACCCGGTCTGGAAGTTGGAGGAAGGTTTAAGAGGAAAAAAAGGTTGGAAAATCCTTGGCTTGAATTATCCATGCTGCTTTTTAATGCCCTGTGGGAAAATTCAGCCTGATCTTTGCAGGGCTTATGAATTTTCAAAGCAAAACAGATGCTTTACAGTGCTGCATAACTGAAGCACCCATTTTGCCTCTTAATTCTACGATGCAAAACCCCCAAGAAATTGACTGTTGCTCATTCCAGTAGCACTTGGGGACCTGTAAGAGCTGGTGGGGACTGCAGGTAGCGTGTCTCTGTCCTAGTAGCTATGCCTTGCTAGGGTCCCAACCCCTTTGATATGCTATTACAAAGTCCTTTCTGAAATTGTTCTGTAACAAAACTACATTTATACTATGAATACAATAGGACTGATTTCTGGGAGGACCACACGTCGCATTGGGTGTTTAGAGTGTGCATAGTAGAGAATTCCACTTGACTGTCTCCTTCTAAAAAATGTATATGTAGGACATACATTTTTGTGCTCCATCCAGACATCATATTCCCTGTTTCTCACTTGAAAAAAAGAGTATATCAAGTGCATGAATGAATGTGTGAATCAGTCTTGAGGATGGCACTGGGTAACTCTTTTATGCAGTGTGTGTGGAAAATGCGTGTGGGAAGTTTGTAGCAAACTAGTAACAGACTAATCGGAATATTCAATTCCTGAATATTCAGTCCTTGTGTGATCAGAATGGCGTTACTTATGCACATTAACAGGTTTAAAGAAGCCTAAGGTTTGCAGAAATTAATAATAATAATAATAATAATGATAATGATAATTCCCACCCCATATTGCCCAAATGTAGGGTGAGGGAATGCAATGGGGTATTCTGGAACAGGACATAGCTGATTGGCTGGTTGGAATCCTCAACAGGAGTACGCCACACTGCAACATTTTTGTTGCAGGCTCAACTCATGTTTCAATCATTTCCTTCCTTCCATCAATCATTTATATCCCCTCCTTTTCTCTCTCTCTTTTTTCCACATTTGAGGCAGCTACACAGAAATCTACAGGCTAAGAGCACTTGGGTTTCCTGCCTCAAATTTGCACCGTTATGGAAGAAGATGAGGGAAATGCACCCATGCTTCTATTCTTGATAGCATTGATGTATTTTTACCCTTTTGACTGCTCCTTCACCCCTGTAACCAAAGACTGATGGCATATCCTTTTGTCCATCTTGATTGTCATTCAGGCATTTTTTAAAAAAAATCTCAAATCCGCAAAGTGATCTGTTTACAGATCTGGAGAACCAAATCTATCCATCCTGGAACTCTGTGGGAATCCCACACTAGAACGAAATGTATTGATTCTTCTACATTCACTTTTCCCAGGTGGACAAATTCTGTGCAATTTCACTAGTTACCACTTCTCTGCATAAGCTTATATACACACGTATCAACGTTCTCCAACGAAATTCCACCAGAATTCCTATCACTTGGATTGTGCAGACTGGCACTTGGGAGAACAGCATTCCCAGTGCTTTGGAAAGTGCAGGGTTGGAAAAGTTTGACACAAATTACAACATTATCAACACCCAGGGATGCAAGGGAAACAAGAACTTAGCCTACCAAGCTAGAAAAATCCTAAGGGTCTGATAATTTAAAACTCTGTGATTAGTTTTGTTTTAAAGAAACAGTGATTCAGACCCACCTTGGGAAGATCACTGGTGAAATTACTAAGGATTTGGTGAGTGGGAGGAATGGGAAGACAACCCTTAGGGTCTGGATTCCCTATCACTTTTATCTGAAGTATCCCTTAGAACAAGGTTCCTCAACCTCAGCAACTTTCAGATGGGTGGACGTCAGCTCCCAGAATTCCCCAGCCAGCATGGCTGGCTGGGGAATTCTGGGA